TAGGTTGACTGTGTTTCTCATTTGCAAGGTGGTCTTAAATCTTCGAGTTGTCCATTTCGTCAGCGCAGTCATGCTAGCATATTTCTAGTAAGCAGTTGTGATTTGCTTTTGTCTGTTTGGATTGAATAGGAAAACAAAGACCTTTTCAGGCTTAACCATGCACTAAAAGAAATGGCAAAGTAGCTTCTGGTTTTCCAGTGCTTTGAAATGAAAGGAGGACTGCAAATACGCTTCTGTGTGGTTTTGGAGTACTGAAGTCACTCTCAAACTAAAATAGGACATCCCTGCTACAGAACATTGCATAAAACAATCTTCTATATTAGCAGCCAGCTGACCTGCAGGAAGATTTCTGTTTGCTGTAGCAGGAGGCACATGTGGCCATGAATGCTTGACAAAGTCTATCTTTCTTTCAGCAAGGATTTTTTAAATACAGTAAAAGCTGTTTTCTCTGGCATGTTGGGTGAATGGGGGGTGCTGGTAGGTGAAAAATGCCAGTTAAATAAAAGGAAGGAAGTTTGGGTGCAGGAGGGGGCTCGGGGTGCCGGATCAAGGGAGTGCTCACCTCTGGCAGTTCCCCGCAAGTGGCAACCTGTCCCAGCAGCTCCTAGGCAGAGGTGTGGCAGGCAGCTCTGCACACTGCCCCCACCCTGAGCGCTGGCTCTGCATCTCCCGCTGGCCAGGAACCCCACAGTCAATGGGAGCTGCAGGGGTGGCGCCTGCGGGCAGAGGCAGTGCGCAGAGCTGCTTGCTGCACCTCCACCTAGGAGCAGCCGGGACAGGTTGCCGCTTGTGGGGAGCCGCCTGAGGTGAGCACCCCCGGCTATGGGACCTCGCGCCCCAGGTCTCCTGCGCCTCAACTCCTTTCTGGCCCTGCGCCAACCGGACTATAAACCAGATCAAGATCAGAAATGCTGGTTTATAGACATTTCCGGTTGGTGAAGTGCTGGATAAAATAGCTTTTACTGTACATTTGAGCTCTTAACATCACTAGGAACTATAAATGTTCTTTTAAGATTTGAAAATGGGGGGTTGAATCTTTATAGAGTATTTATTACGTTAAAGCCAGCCAATTTATGCAGGCCTTTCCAAACTCTTTCCAGGAAACCCCGCTCCCACCCAAACCTGTCCTTGACCTGATCCAGATGGCTTACCGTTTTACTTCTTTGGATGCAGTGTTAATATCCTGTGGATATTCAGAGCCATGTTTGAAGTCCTGTGTTCATGAACTTCTTCGTTCCCAGTATTCTTGTTTTTATTTCACTGCCTCTCCTCCCAGAGATCCTCAGCCGTGAATTCTTGATGCCTGCTACACAGATATATTACATATGAAAGGATTATTTTGCAGTCACACAACTTTAAAGTTGGAACAGGCTTGCCTTGAATCTGCAAATTCATTATTTAAAGCCTTATCATGAGTCTCTTGTGTGTATCATACAATACTCACTGTGCATGTACTATATCTGTTCAAAGCCTAATCCACAGTGGACACAATGGACACTTTTTTCAGTTCCTCTCTGCCCTGGTTTTGTGGATCCTCAGCTCAGGAGAACCTGGGGACTGTAATGCTCGAGGCAAAACATTCCAACCTCTCTCTGACCTATGCTGTGCTAAGATGTTACACTTTCTCTTTGCACAAAAATTCAGTCACCTTTCCCTTCACCCTTCCAAAGTGTATTGGAGCTCTGGATGCTATGTGTTTAGTGGTGTGCACATACCATATACTGGGATTCTAATATGCTTTGTAATAACACAATGGATAATTATCCACTTTTCAAGGAAGAAATTAGCAAAAACCCACCAAAAGAAATGAGTATTGGGGGTGGGAAGGTGAATAACTCCTATCATATCTGTTTAAAAATAAATAAATAAATAAGACATGGCACACAGTGAGAGAAGCAAAGTGCCTGAGCTCAGTCCTAACAAGGCTCTGTAAGTAACAGTTCCCATCACAGAATGCAAGAGCACAAGATTTAGTCTGTGATTGAAAGAGTAAAGATGAGGCAGCAGTTCGAAATCACACTTCTTGCACCTGTGTTCTCAAGGGAACTGCTGTCTTTGAGTCTAAACTGAGTTTAGAGATTTATAAAGGTCTTTGTATACTACAAATACTGGTAATAATAAAGTGTGACACTTATTTTCAGTGGTCTCTGGAGACTGTTAAAGTTACATCCTTGACCAGGAGTCACAATTATTCGTAGCTGCTGGAGCTTTCTAACTTTTTGAGCCATGAGGTTGCTGACTTCAGGAAGGCCACGGTTCAGTTTAAATTTAATACAATATATTTCTTTTTTTTTCTTTTCTTCACATCAGGGATGCACCGCCTCTTCTTGCAGCATCTTTGATCCACGCTGCAATTGATGAGGTGCTACAGACTGATCTTTCTGTTTTTAAGAAGCAGAGTGTGGAAGAGGAGGAAGAAGGAGACCAGGGGAAGTTCACCTGTAAGTATAATATCCCTCTGTGGATTTCCACAGGGTGTCTGCTGGAACACTTGTAGTTTGAAATACTTCCTGGAATACCTGGTGGGATATTTTGGCAAGCCAATAGGAGCAGAGCTTTCATCACGCTACAGAATGTGGGATGAAGGATGGCTTTGTGGTCGAGGGGCAAGCATGGAGTCTGGAGACCTGGACCAAGACTTTCAAAACTGATTAGTGATTTGGGGTGCCCAGCAAAGGGATGTGATTTTCAGAAAATGCCAAGCAACCTACTTCCTGAAAATCAGAGTTGAGTCACATTGGAAGGAGTAACTTCGCTCTAGCTCTGTTGCTAAATGAAGAGACTTCTGTGAAGAGTTGATTCAGTCTTTCTTGAGTTGTTAACCTTTTGTAATTTTGAAGTGCATTTGTTTCTTTACATGAGTAACCTTTTCAATGATTAGCGAATGGTAGTCTATTAATGTGCCTTTTCAGCCCACACTGGAATCAGTGGGGTCTCTACAATGCAGCTACATTAAACATCGTAAGTGCAACCCATTTAAATCTGTGAGCATCTCTGCCCACACTCAGGATCAAGATGACAGTACCTATGGTCACGCTTGAGCCTGCAAGTGTCAAAATTCCAGGCCTTTACATTTGGTGAAACAACTACCTGAAGGGAGGTTCCAAAGAGGATGGAGTTAGGCTGTCCTCAGTGGTGGCAGATGACAGAACCAGGAGCAATGGTCTCAAGTTGCAGTGAGGGAGGTTTAGGTTGGATAGTAGGAAAAACTGTTTCACTAGGAGGGTGGTGAAGCACTGGAATGGGTTACCTAGGGAGGTGGTGGAATCTCCATCCTTAGAGGTTTTTAAGGCCCGTTTTGACAAAGCCCTGGCTGGGATGATTTAGTTGGGGTTGGTCCTGCTTTGAGAGGGGGTTGGACTAGATGACCTCCTCAGGTCTCTTCCAACCCTAATCTTCTATGATTCTATAAGATCATCAGTACTGTAAGGACCACGTGATGATTGGTGGAGAACTGTTCTTGGACCTTCTACCTGGTGCCTCCATTTCCTCACAACCAGCTGACATTGGGGTAGGGAACAGACAGTTGCGCACTGTTTGAGCACTGTGTAACAACCAGTTCCATCCATTTATTCACTAGAATTTTTAACTTTAAGCCTTACCAAACCTCCTTTTACCATTTGATTTGGAGTGAGAGTGAGGGTCGGATGCTGCAGGAATCCGAAGCTAGAAATGGAAATAATCTCTTGGGTAATCTAGTCCATCCCAGACAGTGAACGTTATTTCCTGTTACACACATTCTCCAATCTGTTTTTAAAAGTCCTACAGGATGGGGCTTCCACTTCTTACCTTGCAAAACTAATCCACTGGCCATTAGATTTCATTGTCCAGAAATCTTTTCCAATATTCAGCTTAAATTTTCTTTCTTAATTTCATCCCGTAATTCTTGGCTGTATCCTTTACAGCTCCCTAAATATTTTCTCTCCCTCCTTGATGTGTACAGACTTCATGTGTTTGTAGACTGTTATCACTCCCCCTCTTTATATGCAAAGAGCTGATTTCAATCAAATTGGCCAAGACCTAAATAGCGAGTGCTAACTCTCCTCCTCCAGAGTATAGAAAAATTATGTGGTGGTAGACTTTAATAGAGAATGTGGGAAGGGAAGTGCAGGAAATATAAACAAAATTCTTTTTAAACACAGTCTTCTCAAGACATTTAGCAGGTTTTTAGTCCCACAGATTCAGGAAACATTTTTCATTCATAGGCCAACCCAGTTTGCTTTCTCAGAATTGAGCTGATAGTAAATTGGCTCCATCTCCTGGGATACTTGAAAACTGCAGGTCCTTACGGAAGGCTGAGCTACTTAGGGCTGGTCTACACTGGGAGGGGATAGATCTAAGATACGCAACTTCAGCTACGCGAATAGCGTAGCTGAAGTCAAAGTATCTAAGATCGAATTACCTGGGGTCCACATGGTGCGGGATCGACGGCCGCTGCTCCCCCGTTGACTGCGCTACTGCCGCTCGCTCTGGTGGAGTTCCGGAGTTGACGGTGAGCGCGTTCGGGGATCAATATATCGCGTCTTAATGAGATGCGATATATCGATCCCAGATAAATCGATTGCTACCTGCCGATACGGCGGGTCTTGAAGGCATACCCTTAGAATTGTGATCATTTCTCAATAGCTGCAAGCATTTCTTTATGAAACTGGCTTGTTCATTCCCACAATATCCTAGATGACATTGTGGATGCCTCATAAGCCTTTCATAAATTTTCAGTCTCGTAGGCCTAGCTTCTGCCATTCTTACTTACTTGAGTAATACCTTTCTCTGAGAGCAGTCCCATTGATTTAAATAGAACTACTTAGAATACTCGATGTGAGTAAGGATGGCAAAATGGCCCATGACGGATAAAGCACTAGTAATCATAAGTATTCACTCACTGCATATAGACTGCTGCTGTTTTCTGATTCATTGGATTTAATCCTTTTGTATTCTGACTGTGCCAACAGAAGGTTGCCTAGAGGGGGACACAGTGGTGCGAATTGCCCATGCTTCCTGTTTTTTGGTGGGAGGAGGGAAGAGTTGACTGCTACAGCTCCCAAAGTAGGTAAAACCAGTTAGTAAGAGATGGGACCAGCACAATTCCCAGGCAGCCTCTGCCAGCGGGGTTCCTATAGAGCCTGGCTGGAATTTAAAGCTGCCTTCACCAGTTAGAATCCTCAGGGCAGTATGGTCATGATACTGCTGATTACCACCCTCCAGGATAATCTACTTTCCAAAGCAACTGCCACACAAGGTTAAGGAGATGCAATTTGTGCCCTAGGTACTCAAGGTGAAAGTGTGGCTCAATATTTGTATCCCCTTGATTGGATTCTAGATGTGGGTTTCTTTCTTTTGGGGATAGGGTGTGTGGAGGTTAGAGTTCTGTAGCCAATGTGATTTCACCAGTGTAGTGCATGTCACTGAGTGAGAACCAGAGATCTAGGTCATTGTGGCCCTATGTAGGCTAGAAAAGCAAGCTTAAATGTTTTAAACAAGGGTCATTCTTATAGCACTAAAAGAAATTCCAAAAACCGAAAGGCAAACCAACAAAACCTACCTTTTTGAAGATGACCTTGCAAAAATTTTGTTAGTCAGAGCAGTGTGGTGTAAGGTAGGAAATGGAGGCACAAGTCCACTCAGTTTTGCCTTTATTTATAAATTTTCAGACAATGATTTATTTATAGTTTCTGATCGTATATTTGGCAGATAATAAGTAGATAAGATGGAACAGCTGAGGGCCCAAGTTACTGAGTTCCAGTGTTCTGGGTTGCTCTTAGACACTTCATGATGGTCTTCTCAGTGTCTGGTCCAGCATTCTCCTACTTGGTCCCTGGTTTGCTTGTTTTTTGTTTTGTTTTTTTAATACCTTTCCACATGACCTATTTATTACCTTTCTTCCAGTCAACATTGAGCATTGAGTCTTGTGTAACCTGTGCAATACACATGTGCAAGCTTCAATTAACATAACTTTTGCTGTCTACGCTATTTTTGTCATGTCTCCTTGTCACTGTACTACTGTTTTTCCTCAACATAGGGATTTTTTTTAGCATTACATTTTATCTTCAACACAATACATTCCATGAACAAATCACCTTTGTGCTGTCAGCTATGAGTATTATTTAAGTAAGCCTACATAAGAGAGAAATTGGCAAGACAACTCATGTCAAGCAAAAGCTAAGCTATAGCCTTAATATAAGTATTACCCTGGCCTGTCTAAGCTTGTTCACTACACATAATTTAGTGTTAATCGTTTGATTAATGAAATGTAACCCTTATTTTTACTATTCAGCAATTCTTCAAGTTTAAATATCATAATTCAATAAATGTATATCATCCTACATTATTTATTAACATAACCTTTACTTTTTATTTAAGTAGAAAAGTTATGAAAAACACATCGTTAATGTCATCATATTATCTTTTCCAAACATTGGTTTCCAAGTAACTTTTTACTCAAAATTTAGCTTGTAAATCATTTTAAAAAAACTGTCCGCTAACCATGGCATGGAGTTCACAGACTGCTTAAAACTTACATAAAGAATAAAAACAAGAATGGAAAAATATAAAGCAAAACCAGAACAAAAATCACTGAAAAAAGAGAAATGAGACAAGATACAAAGGGACAGAAAAAATAGGAGTTGTGGAAAGAATATGGACAGAAAGCAAAAAGGACGCAAGCAACTATGCTAGAGTATGAGGGGATGGGGGGGAAATATAGCACTTGAAAACATCCAGCTAAGCACATATCTGAACTATGTATATGTGTGTTTTTATTATGGTTTCCCTTGCCCTACTTTTCAGTTGCCTTAACTGTAGAGCAGGAGCCATCTTTCACTCTGTTTATACAGTGCCTAGCACAAAGGGGCCTCGCTCCTCACTGATTCCCATAAGTACTATTATAATACAAATATTAAATAACTTTGTTGATTTTTCTAGGATATACTTTAATCTTTTAAAAGAGAAATTTTTGTCTTGAGATGAAACTTGCCATGATAGACTAGAATACCATTGATCTTTCATGAAAATAGACTTCAAACTAATTTTAAAAACTTGACACAATATCACCATACTGTTTAAATGTCTGGTTAAGGAAATGTGTCTCACAGGCATTATGGTGTGTAATGGTATGCATATTTAGACTATATTAACCAGCATATGTAGACCAGCATCTAAATTGATCTTCTCAATTTAAAAATAGCTGCATATGTGGTGAGTGCATTTATCAGAATTAAATATATCTTGCCTATTTAAAATTTCTAAAAATAAGTAAATCAAAAGTGATTATATCATAGACCGACCACTTGCCAAAATTTGGTGCATTAAATTAAAGCTCTTTTCATTTTCAGGGTGCAAGAAAGTATCTGAAACTGGACATCCAGTACCATGGATGAGAGAACGTGCTTGAGAAACTGGAGTTAATGCTGAGACATTCTTAGTGCTAGCAAGAGTTGCTATAATATAGAAATTGAGACGGTAGTTTACCCAGTAAAGAATTTCAATGCTGTAAAGTAGGAAGATCTGTGATAGTTAATTGCTTTAGCTGTATAGATGCTCTACTCACCCTTTAAGCAAGTTGATTTAGCATTGGGTGATGGTTTTTACTTGGACAGCAAACTTAAAATTTCAGCCTACTTGAGAGACCCTGCATTACTAAGCTAGAAATTATCACAAATATCACAGCTTATTGCTCACCAGACTGAATGCTGGGATTAATGAAATTTGAGATGAGTCCAGGAAAGGATTTGAGTGTCTGGCTAGTACTTTTCATGTTGCTCTCTATGGGTGTTGTGATTCTGCTCTGTAATGGCAAAGCAGTGATGTGGCAGAGATGGTCTTCTGTCCCTCATGCTTTTAACATCTGTTAGTTCACTCTCTGTGTGAAAATGATTGAAGAAGACAACAGTTTAAATACTTCTGCAGTCTGATTATACTGGGCTACTACCCAGTTGATCCCTCAAGTTATACATTCTGTGTGTATCCATTGTTTTCAGTGACTATAATTCAACTGCACATAACCCAGGTCTAACCCAGACTAATATTTGTGACCTGTGTCAAGACAGCAGCCCTGTGCACAGTCTTAGAGTTTTCTGATCTGCATCTAATTTTCTTTATAAACGGATACACTTCCACCAGTATGCACAATACATTGCACTCACAGTTCCCAGTACTGAATCTTTTATGTCTAATCTACTAAACTGACTTTGATCCTCGTTGTGACCTTAAGTGGTCTATTGCCCTGGAGAACTGTCAGCCATTTGATAACACGATGAACTTCAGAGGTAATAACTATTTAATAAACTGGGTGACTGAAAGATCCTCTTGTCCATAATACTGTACTGTTGGGTCAGAACTTTTTGCCTGTGATTCTCAAGAGGGGTTTGACTCAGAAGCGTATGGGCCAAGCATAATAATATATACTTGTTCCTTCTTTTTTCATAGTGTCCCAATGGAGTGACTTTTGGAGGGAGTGTTCTGTGTATCCATAGGCACTCTTGTGTCTAAAACCAGTGGATTAAAGGGAGAGATAGAACTTTGGCTCCAAGTCAGAGGCTAGTACAGGCAGAATATGTTGAGAGAATGCATGTAGTCCTAGGGAAGGAAATTTGTAGGAAAAGACAAGTGAGGGGTAAGTAGGAGAGAGGATATTGGGTTTGAATATCATCATTTGTTTTCCTCCTCCTTTTCCCAAACATACAACTAAGTCACCTACTGTCTCTCTGCCATCAGTGCTGGATGGAGGCTCTTTGCAGCGCTGTTTCTTTAATAAGCTGCGAGACATCTGCTGTGAATGGCAGAAGCAACTGCCATCCCTGAAGTCACTGAAGCGCTTCCTGCTTATTTCCAGCCATGCCATCCGCAACATCCGCCGGAAAATGGAGGACAGACATGTTTCTCTCCCAGAATTCAATCAGCTCTTTGGCTTGTCGGTAAGTCTCTGGGGCCAGGAGAGGTCAGTTCTAGCATTCAAATACCCCTTGTGAAACACTCGTGTCCTAGTATCACAAAGTGAGCACTTTTGGGAGGTGCTACTAAGGATTTACTGACAGCAGTCCTTTTATCAGGTCTGTACTGGAGCAGAGACCTACTGGATCTGTGTATTTGGGCTAGCTATATAGCAGTTTTTTGTGACATTGATATGCTCCCACCACAAGGGTGAGAGAGGGAAAATAACTCACTTTGGGAGTGGGGGCTGTTGCTATATTTTGTGAGAGAATTGATGATGTAAAGGTGAAAAATAGCATTTTGGTTGAGAATTCAGGGATGCTTACTAAAGATATAATGGAACCACACAACCTTCCAATCTGCCTTCTCAATTCCTATTCCTTTTCAAAAATCTGGTCAGTGATCAACAAGGAGCAAAGAAAAATAACACATACCCCCATGAGATGCATATTCTATCTATTTTACACATTGTTAAACTGATGCAAATTACCCGAGGTTACACACAGTTAGTGGGAAAGCTCAGAGTAAAATACAGGCATCCTAATTCCTACTCTCCAAGTCAGTTTGCTAGATCATGCCACCTTACTTTCTTTTCCCAGGGAAGATCATGGTGTTTGTGGCTCTCAGTGTATTTGCATAGCATTGTGTCTATGTACACGCTTGTGCTCTCTCATACATATGTGCACACATTCTTTCACTGAAATGCTTGCATAAAATCTGGCAATTGACTTTTATTTATGAACTCTTTGTCTCTCCCTCCTGCCAAAAGGATGACGTTGATCGAGCATACTTCGCTGTATTTGATGGCCATGGTGGAGTGGATGCCGCCAATTATGCAGCAACTCATTTGCACATAAATGTTGCATTACACAAGGAGATTCTTAAGAACCCAACTGAGGCCTTGAAAGGCTCTTTCCAGCAAACTGATGAAATGTTTCTTTTCAAAGCTGAAAGAGAGGTGAGTGCGTAGAGTAGGGTTGCCAACCCTCCAGGACATAAAGCTTGTCATGTGATGAAACCTCCAGGAATACATCCAATCAAAATTGGCAACCCTAATGTAGAGCCAGATTCCCTTGTAGTTAAGCAGTTGGAGAATTGCTTGGGTGACAGTAAAAAGGAATGGTGTTATGCAGAGAATTTTGATCTCATACAGTTAGACTTTGAATTCATTCTGATTTGTTTGCCAAATATCCTAAGTGGAAAGTATTTCATTGGTCAAATTAAATTCTCCCTTCTCATAAGAACCAGTGCCTGCAAGTTCAGGGAGATGGAAACTTTGAAGTGAGGAGTTAGTGCTATTTCAGGATCCTTAACCTCAGGGAATATACAGGCAACAAAGAGTTGCTTCCCTGGGGGGGCGGGGAAGGCTAGCCCCAATTGTATCTGCATAATTTAATACAGAGGCAAATAAAATCTTTGTATTTATTTTCTTAAGGCTGGTTCCACTAGCACCATCACTGACCTTTCTCTTCCTCCTTTCCCCATATTTGGGAGAGTGAAGTCCGTGCATGGCAAGATAACTGGAGGATGAGAGATTTTAAAAATGAGTTAAACTAGGTTCTTGAGTTCGAAGTATTGTAAAGGAACTAAAAGTGGTAAAGGTCAAATGAAGGACACTCTTCCATCTTTATAGCAGCAGCATTGAAACTTGACCATTCAAAGTGCAACAAGGATGGCTTTTTATAATGGACTGTAATACAACAGTGAAGAAATGCTCACCCTGAGAATATTTTTCACTGCCGCTAGGAAGGCAGAGATAGGGTGGCTACATCTGTTTGTATGGGGAAGAAAAGTCACGTTCAGTACTGAAAAGGTTCTTGCTGCTGAAGTTAAAATCAAACTGATTCCTCTGCTTTTCAGAAAAACCCAAATAACCAAATGGTTCTGGGCCCTTTGAAGCTAACGCTGGAGTTAGCGAAGACGAGGTGAAGAGCATAACTATAGCAGTGCAGACACTTGAATGCTAAAATAGAGTTTCTTCTAACCCTGTGTTTTCTCTTATGTCTGCACCTTTTATTCAGTGGATTGCCATTCACAAAGGTCTAAATTGCTGCATAGTTAACACGCTTTAATTAACCCTAATTAAGGTTAAGATTTTGTCATGGTTATTTTTAGTAAAAGTCACAGACCGGTCACGGGCAATAAACAAAAATTCATGGAAGCCGTGACCGGTCTGTGACTTTTGCTGCTGCGGCTCCATGGTTTCCCCTGCCACCGTGGTGGCTGGGAGCTGTGGGGACAGTTCCCCCTCTGCCCATGGCATCTGAGAACTGCAGAGTGACCATATTTCCCAAAGAGAAAACGGGACACCCCCAGCCTCTCTCCTGAGGCGTCCCACTCCCTCACTCGAGGCTGTCACCCATCACTGGAACCCTGACGAGGGCCCCCTCAGGAGTCTGTCACCTGTCGCTGGAACCTTGCAGGGGGCTGCCTGTTGCTGGAACCCTGCCATGGCCCTGCTGGCTGCCAGCTCCAGAGTCCCGCAGCCCCTGGGGCTGAAGCAGAGAATGTCACGGAGGTCTCTGGGAGTCATGGATTCCGTGACTTCCATTACCTCCGTGACATAAACGTAGCCTTAACCCTAATTTACAATGTTATGATGTTAAACTGCAGTTTAACTTGCACTGCTCTGTTTCCCTTTGTAGAGGCTGCGGAGTGGTACAACAGGTGTATCTGCCTTAATTGTAGGGAACAGGTTACACATAGCCTGGGTTGGAGACTCCCAGGTAATGTTGGTGCAGCAGGGAAAAGCTGTGACCCTGATGGAACCTCACAAACCTGAAAGAGAAGTAAGCCTGTTTTCTTTGGCTCTCTCCTCTGATGGCTGTAATTTAATTTACTTTTGGCTCACTGAATCTCTTTAAATGAAGACCTGGCCAACTACCAGCTGACACTGAACTGCTCTCTTTGTAGACAGTTTATAAAAAAGGTCTCTAGGTAGCTTTGGAACTATTTGGAATCTCTAGATTCCCTGGAGTGTGGCACATATGCAAGTCTATAACTAGAATGACAAACTGAGCTGATGGTATTGGTGGCTGATCTCATCCTTGCAATGGATGAGGATACCATCTGTTAGAAGTTAAGTGGTCATGATTTACAGCTATTAAATGTAAAGTCTCTAGCAGGACTAGATGGAGCCACTTCTCAGTGATTTCATCCCTTTTAAGTTGGATGGCTATGGAGCATAGTTATGATGTGTCAGTCTTGCCTTTCTCCTGTCTAGTTGTGTGTTCTCAATGCATGTTTTTCCAAAGGAAAAAAGGGTTGTGCTGAAGAACAGACTTGATCTGTACTCTCAGTTGGGAATGCCCTTAAAAAAAATAAAAAGAACCTTGTGAAAACTGTAGTACTATGGAATTTTGCATACATAGCAACCATGAAAAATCTACAACTGCGAGACTTTTGTTAATAAAAGTAACTGATTTTTTTTAAAGTCACCATTGAGTTAGTAAATAAACGTTTTAATTTCAGACCCGACTTACATAATAGCATCGTTCAAAAAGCAGTAATACTCTAGTATCATAACTGGCTTAATTAATCTTACATTTCTTTTTACTAAAGTAGGTCAAATATAACTAAACTGATTTATGTACAAACTGAAAAGGCAGTCGCAAGTTTTTAGGGGTGGCATTGCATGAACCTTCTTCTTTATAGTATGAACAATATAAAAGTTTTTGTAGGGCTTGAGGAATATGGATTATATTAATGAAAATGAAATTTGCCTCTAAATGCACTTTTTATTTGTACATCTAAAAACCTTAGCTTTACAATTATCCTTTTCTTCCTACTTCCATTCACAATCTTAAATATTTGCACAGTGATGGGGATATTGCTAGTTTGTTCCTATAGAAATGACCTAGACAGGGATTCTTCCCTTTTGTTTCACGAAAAGCAATGATGCAGTCATAGGGAAGATGTCTTGTCTTGTTCATGTATACTCAACTGAACATTGCAATAAGACTGTTTTGTTTTTTTTAATAAGCACATTTTTCTCTGAACACTATTGATTCCCATTTATTTAAAAATATAAAGCTGTTTGCATCCTACTATAAGTATACAAGTTGAAGGGATTTAAGATTTTTCTCTGCAACACTGGCTAGCAGTGAATTTAGTGAGATCTAGGATATGCTCTTAGTATAAAGAGTTGATGTGCTTCTTTCTTCTAGGATGAGAGAATGCGTATAGAAGCCCTAGGTGGCTGTGTGACCTACATGGACTGCTGGCGGGTCAATGGAACCCTTGCTGTTTCCAGGGCTATTGGTAAGTAAGGCCATCTAAGTTAGTCAAAATTGAATTATCCTTAAACACATAATCTAAAAAATCCTGGGGCTGAATTAAGTAGACAACCATTTATTAATAAAGAGATTATAGTGTTTGCCCAGCTTGGGCCAAAGAGTAAATTGCTTCTATTATTGTAATTGCTTGAATAATGGAGTATTAAATTGCTTGGTCAGCACAACCCTTATCAGTTTTTGAAGGAAAAAATAAAACTAGTTCAATTCCTTCTTTGAAACATCTATGATAACGTAGCATGTTGCAAATGAAAGCCCAACAAGCTCGCAGAGTATATTGTACATGACACTAGAGCAAATATTGTCTTCTGATCTGATGGATGTCTGAATATCTCCATATAAGGTGGGTGAGTTAATATCTTATTGGATCAACTTCTGTTAAATAAAGAGACAAGCTTTTGACCATAGAGGTTTTTTTATTTATCCATTTTAGTATCTACAAGTTGTTCTCTTCACTGTGTTTGAGAAGTCAAATTGTAGTGTCATCCTTCAAACTGCAAATAGCTAACATAAACATTAGCAGTGGACCATTAGCATTTAAATGCTAATATTCCCAAATGCTGTGTAAAGAACTTTCTTGGACGCTTGCCACTTAAAGTAAAATGAGAAAAGACCCTAGGCAGCAGCAGTGAATGAAGAATTGTAATGGCTGAACAGAAGCAAGTTATCATACATTTATACAGTATCTTTTTTAATTGAGAAGTGGTAAGCTTGTCTCACTTGTGTTGAAATGAATGTGTACAGGTGAAACTGTTGAATTAAGTATTTGGGCACTGTACTGCATGAAAGGGGATGTTCTTATTCCTGTTTATCGCTAATGAAAACAAGCTTCCTCCCTGGCGTTCCAAGGCTTTCACAAGATGCACACTTCTCTCAAAAAAAACAAAAACAACCCCAAAGTATCCCAGCATTTCCTGAGGGAGGAAAATTTGAGGTTTTCCTTGGTGAGCTCCTCATATCATTCTGTTCTAGAGGAGGGGTATAATGAGCCATGGTACCATCCCCAAAACACAGTAAATGCCCTTAAATCCATATGAATCCCAGGGGATCGTTAGGAGTTGAAGTCCTTCTCCATTGGCTCTGTAGCCCCCAACTATCTCCTTCCTTCATGGGGCATTGAGAGAGCTGTGCATGGATCTTGGGGATATGATCTGGCCCTAAAAGAAACCATTGCAACGCTGGGGAATCCTAGAAACAGTTGGCTGGTGAGGAGAAAATGGCTCATATTAAAGTAATCAGATTTGTATCTTTTCTTGTTAGGTGATATATATCAGAAGCCCTATATCTCTGGAAATGCAGATGGTAATTCATTTGAGCTGACAGGTTCTGAAGATTACTTGCTCCTGGCCTGCGATGGATTCTTTGATGCCATCAGACCATATGACGTGGTGGATCTGGTCCTAGATCACTTAAAGCAAAACAAAGGAGATGGTCTCAAGGTAGCAGAGAGACTGGTGTCTGCAGCAAAAGAAAATGGATCCAGTGATAACATCACTGTCTTGGTGGTCTTCTTAAGGGATCCCCGAGACATCTTGGCAGACTGCTTGAGAGACCCTAAAAGCCTCAGTGTTGATGAGGGTGCAGAGGATTCACCCTTTAACTTTTTCAGCTCTGAGATGAACAATCAGAGCGACAGCCACACAACGACAAAATCTTAACTCACATATGTTCCACAAAAGAAATTTTCTTTCCATTGAAGAAGCCTCTAGTAGGATGGGTAAAATGTCAGGAATAAGGTGACCAAAATTCCACAAAGAAAAATGTCAGAGCTCATCTTACTATATCCATTGTCCCCTCTTCCCCTGAAACAGCTGAGCAGGCTGGAAGACTTGTGCAACTACTTCTTCCCTGGAAATAGTTTTAAAGTGTTTGCCAGGTTGCCAATTCATGTCCCTCTATCCTGGAGGTGGTAAGGAACGTATAAGCTAATGGAGGAGAATACTTATTTGTATTATGCTCATTTGGGTTCTGCTTTAATTTAAAATAGTGCTTAAAACAGAAAGCTAACATGCACATAGTTAATTGTAATGTTACCTATTTTGGGGTGGGGTGGGGAAAGCCATCATCAAAGAGAAGCTTTTTACTGCACACTATCTTTATGAACAGGTTCAGTATTCTAGAGGATCAGGTGTCTAGGAGTGGGATCTTGTGTTCTTCCTTATATACCCTCAGAGACCTCTCAACTTCATCATTTGGTACCAAAGACAACATTGTGAAAGAGGGTGATGTAATATAAACCTCATCCTTTTAAAGAGCAATTTAACTTTTTGTATTTATGGGGAAAATAAAATGAAACACTTGAGGGAAACTAGGAATATCCCAAACAGAAGAAGCAATTTGTAGTTAATTAATTTCTGGCATGATCTGGTAATTAATTTAATTGACTGATATGGAAAGACTAACTTTAGAGTAAGGGTGAATTATTTCTGTGACACAAACACACTTTATTAGCTCTTTGGTAACCTGAAAAGAGAGGACACTTGCTGACTGTGTTTGAAAGGGGTCCATAGAAATTGTGTGTATATGCTCTGCCAATTCAATAGGCCCTGTACTTGCCACATCCTTTTTTATGGTTTGCTATAAACAAAGGGAAGTATTTTATTTTTTTCTTTTCATAAACTTTTTGAGTATTTACTGAATGTTATGGTTGTGGGAACTTTTTTTGCAGTGTTACTGTATTTTGTTGTGGGTTTTTTTATTTAAATAATTAGGATTTTTAAAATGTACACTTTTGTTGTCTGGCTTTAAAAACTGGCCACCTTCAAATGCCTTAAATGTTTCAGTAAAGGATGGGAAAGATTAGTTTTCTGTCAAATTCAGGTGACCATGTTCTAGTTATGTTTTTAAAATTTGATTTATTTCATTAATATAAATATTTTAATGCACTTACAGCTCTTTCATTTTTTTGTGAATGACTGAGCAGGAACTGTGTTCCAAGAACATTTTGTTTTTCTGTGTTGCCAAACTTTGTGTTGATTGTGAGACTCCTGATATTTAGTGTTTTCTTAAAGGCCCCAGCTAGCTGGCCTCAGGTTATTTACCTGAGAATCTTCGATTTCATTTAAAATTTTTTTCCAACCCTCAGTTTTGTAGAAGAAAACAAACCCTATGTGCTCCAATACCATTGTGCAGATGTTCAATAAAAAGAACCCCAAGTGTTTAATTTAAAAAAAAAATGTTAGGCCTGACTCCTGATTGCTTTCTGTTTGGCAATACTGCATTTATGATATATATTTGATACAGTAACTTCCTGAGGAGATGAGTTGAGATTATGCTAGAGAACCATGTGACTGGTATATAACATGCCTGGGTGCAAGCATGCAGAATGCGTGCATATATAATTGCATTGCTTAGCAGGTAGTAGACCCATGACAGTCACGATCAGTGCTGCTGGAGCCACTAGTCTGATTCTGTCACTGTTCCCATCACCGTGACGCTTTCTGTATTAGCAGGATCTGAGAGCTGTATTGCAAATTTATTTTATAACTTTTGTATCTGAACAGGAAAAGCAGCCCATCAGGTGGTGGGATTGTAACATCACTTTTGACTTTGGCACACTGTTGTCATATAGCAGTCCTGTTGGTTAAAATGCCCTGAATATTTTAAATCGGAAATGTTTTAAGGGGAGTAAATGTCTATGGAAAATTGAGATTTGTCTTAGCTTGATCAGATAGCCGCCTTAAAATAATGAGGTGGGGCGAGGAGGCAGAGCAGCACTGATTGTGCTCATGCTATGATAAGCTGTCAGCTAACACAAGATAATTCAATTATCCAAGTGATTTATTTGTCAGGTTACCCCCAAAAGATGGTACAATTCAACATGGTAACTCCATTTGTAGGGGGTGGGGGAATATTCCACCACCTAGTAACTCTGACAATGGCTCTGTTATTGTATTATGGAAAGGCAGTAACCTCTGCATAGTTAAGGTTGAAACTATTTTTCTGTTATAAAGAGAAATTTTGCTACCCTTCTAAAATGCTTGGGAGAAGCTTTCTCTTACTGCAAGTGAGCTAGGTAAGGTGGTAGGTCAGAGGGAATTTTTTGTGCCAAATCTGGCTGTTCAATTTTTTTAGACTTCCCTGATTATAAGAATAATTCAGTGAATCTTTGTCATATCCTACCTCTAGAATGATGCAACCCAGAAACTTCGGCTTAGGTTTGTTTGCAGGGGTTTTGGTGACCACTAGTGCATTTTGGCATCTTGAAGAGACAGGTCCCCATATTCAGAAATAGAACATTCTGTCTGTGTCTTATGGACCTCTCAGGTTCACTGTTACTTTTGTCAAAACCAGGATAGCTTATAGAGGTGGTGTAAGATTTGGAAGATTCATAAAGTTGCTGTTTTGTTTCAGAACTCTGCCAGCATTTCAAAGATATGGAGGGAAGTAGGCAGACTTTAAAAGCCAAGCCCATTTGTCCTACCTTTCTGTTATAAACTTCTGCCCGGTAACGCTGCCAAAATTAAACAAATCCACCTGAAACTTCTGACTGAGGCTCCTTGCCAGGTGAGAATATCTTAACCAACTATCAAGTGACTAAGACATGATATTTTTCAGATATGGGAGCTAAAATGAGTACTATCCCTATTTGTACTATTAATTTTCATATTTAAACTCCCTTTAAACGAAACTATTGCAGAATTTCTAGTCTGCCTCAACAAATGGCTGCAGAATCCCAGAATCTTTCTGTGGAACTTAAGTTCAGCTTCCAGGGACTAAACATGCTCTTGAAATAGAAATGGGTCTATCATCCGTGAGTGTACTAGAAAACTAGTATAATTGTCTGATCAAGAGAAGTACTGGACATGACACACTTTAGATACTGGTAGCAGAGTTCAAAGGGGCACCATCAACTTAAAAATCACATTTGTCCGAAATTTATTTTTTTACCTTCTTGTGTTAAGGTTACTATAACCTGAGCAAGACAGGGGCAGGGAGGAGAATATAGTCTTTATTTTGTCAGTCTGTTGTTTCTGCATTTAACAGCAATTTATATACTATTTCCTCTGTGTAGTCAGTCAGATTTCCCTGATTTTGGGGGTCTTTTACATAGCAATAGTAAAGGTGGGGAAAGTGATGTGAAACCACAAAAATTGGCTGAGGGACTCAGGGCAGATGTAGTACCTGAAACTACTTTTCATCTGACTAGATTTCAAGTTGGATTGTGTCCCTTTTAAGAAGTAGTTTAGAGTAACCAAGCACTAAAATACAGTAGTCTTTAAAAACAATGCAACACACACTTAAAAGCTTCATCTTCTGTTGGATGAAAACCTGCTTTTTTCATGATACTTAGATATGGTACAAGTCTCCCTTGTGCTTGAACAGCTCAGTTCTAATCCTTTTTACGTTTATTCTTTAGTCCTTGAAAGAAATGTAAAATAAATTAATAAATCAAATGTTCTGGGTCTAACCTAAACAAAAGGACCAGAAATTCATAACTCATGGTTGTAAACAAGGAGAGTTGTTCAAGGGAAAAGGACTCCTGTCACAGCCTGTTAATGTCTGTTTGACAGTAGTTTTTTGTAGAACCTTTGAGAGCTAGATAGAGGCAGAGCAATTTTTAGAACAGTGGGGGAAGGGGAATTAAGTAAAATCTACCCTCTAACAGTGACAGAGGAATGAAAGAGAGCATGCAAGACAGGAACACGTTTAAGTGTTATTAGTGCCTATTTTAAAAAGGAAGTGGGCTGGAAAATACAGCTACAAATGTCAGTTTCTTATGGAGAAATATCAAGTCCTGGAAGAAATTAAAAACACTTTTAAAATGGCAGAACTAGAGTGATAACCTTGTCTTATAATAGTGAGGTGTTGGGTCAGGAATGGGATTAGAGTAAAAGCATCTTAGGTGATTTCTGTGACCTTGCTCAGTATTGTTGTGTCCTTAGAGGTTCATGCTGATAAGTGGAATTCTTCTAAACACATTGCATGCAAGGGAACTAGGCTGAGATAGCCAATAACCTGTGTACACAGAACTGTATATCACACAGTTGCTGCTGTAAGTAAATGCCATGAAGTGTTAATGAATTGATACTGCTGGTTGGATCTGATAGGATGAGTAATTGGCATGGAGTTGTTTCAGCAGAGTTGGCAGTTGAATAGTGTTAATCACAGTGATGACTTTAATAGCATTTAATAGACACTTATCTGAATTCAGATCAGATGATATATTGCTTTAAAAAAAAAAAAAAACATTTCCACTGCTTTTTTCATTTTTTTGTTAAAAAAAAATTAAAATTGCCAGAAGAAATTTGTGGGTTATTTTTTTTTTTCTTTCTTCCCCTGTTGGAGAAGTGCTTGCTTTCTGGGTTCTGGTTATAGGTCTGCTGCACTTTCCATTAGAAACCTGCGCTTTCACTTGATATTTTAATAAAAGAATAGTTTTGAGCTGAAACTTAGCAGCCACCTCCCACAAATCCTAAAAGGAACTTTCCAAAACAGAGATGCTATTAAAGACTACCAAGGAAATACAGGTGTTTTTTAAATATGTATTAGACAATAGGTCTTGGCTCCTAAGGTGTCACTAGAGATTGCTTAAATCACATACAAGTATATGACGGGTATATATTGAAGGGTTGTTTCAGTTGAAGCTTCTTAAGATTAAAAAAGCTATGTTAAAAGAAAATTCAAGGTCTGACTTGACAGACAAAAGCTAGGAAAATTGGAGTCAAGGTTGCTACTCCATTCTTAGCACTTAAATGCCACCATGATGGGTGTTCTACAAACGCTGAAAGATTAATGGATCACTGTGAACAGTTTGAGGTTATGTATTGCCACATGTGTTGTATTTGAGTAAAAGCAAATGCTTCTGGGGATGTGTGGGGGAAATGTCAGCCTTAACTGAATTTTTCTGATCCTTGTTAGTCTAACACTTGAAGACTGCAGATGGTTTTTAGATATCTAGATCGCTGTTAGTTAAATTTGGATTAAAACTTCCGTTCTTGCTTACAGGTGCCTTTAGGCACTAGTGCAATATCCTAGTCACAGTGTGCTAGGCAATATACTAACACAGAATAACAGCCTCTTTGCAGTTGTTCATAAGTTTGGACTCGTTTCTTTTGGGTTGAAATTTCCCAGGCTTCATCTCTGCCCAAAAATTAGTGTTTGGAAAACTAATGCAAAATCATCTAAACTGTATTGAATATTTAATGGTTTTCCCCATGCATCTATTATGTGTATATCTTTTCGTTTGGGTTGTGAACAGGAAGGGTGGTTGTGACCTCCCACCATTTTCTTTCTGGTTAAGTGGAGGAGGTGATTCCAAAAATTTCTGTTGTAACAGTGTCCTGGTCTGGAGAAGGGTGAAAACTACTGCTCTGAAGCAGCCATTTGGTTGGCAGAATGCTACCATTGGAAAGTCTATGCTACAAACCAGAACCCCATTTCTACCAAAAGGGTTATAACTTGTCGCATGGACAAGACTAGGTTAGTCCCATCCACACTATAAGCTTGAATTTTGGTTCAGTGCAGCATTTTAAAGTCACTGTTTTCATGAGACCCTCTGAAAAGAAGAAACCCATGTGAGCACCCTAAGTTGTTCTGCAGTTCTAGTTTTGTGTGGGTTTTCCAAGCTGTGCACATTCCTGCCGAGATTGTTTACTTTCCTGTGCACCAGCAACAAAAGACAGCTGTGTTGGCAGCATAGGAAATTTTGCAAAATGCAACGTTTGTCAAAAAAAGGAGGACAAAATCAATAGAGAGAAAAAATGTTTTCAAGCTTCTTGGAATAGAAACAATGGAATACAAAAAATCCAAGCTAGAAGAAAGTTGGCAGTGCACTGTCTGAACATATCTTAGTTAAGGAAACCACTGTTTTAAGCTAACGCATTTTGTCTGCTTTATTTTATTGACAAGCTTCCTACACCCAGGGGTTCATGTCTTGTTGCTGATATGTACTTTTTAGCATAAAGAAATAAGACAAATATTTAACTTGCTGAGGACTGGGGATCTGTTTCTGCATTTGTCCTAGTTAAAACATGATTTACCAGAGCTTTCTGCTTTCGCAAGTAATGAGCCATATTGCACCAAATCTCAACAACACTTTAATATCACTAGTAGTGGCTTTTTTGTGATGATAACTCATGCATTTGGCCAGCCTAGTGACACTGCTCTATATTGTCATACTGAAGACCCTAGTATCTCCTCCCCTGGTGGATTGATCTCCAAGGCCTAGCAAGATATGGGAGATAATGCACTCAGCTCCTAGGGTTTTGTGTCATTCAGCAGTGACCTAGTTAAGGTGTGACTTTTGCCAGTTGTGAAGGGAGTATTATCCATTCCTTGGTCCAAAGGGTGGTGTCCTTTAGGACTCCAAGGATAAGGGAAACATAGCTAGAAAACAAGAGGGATCTTAAGGGCTTCTGAGGGGGATCCCCAATGCAGTCCGTTTCTGTAGTTGCCTCTGCATATTGTCCTTTTCTTGCTGTCTAATGTGACTCTAGTTATTGCAAAGCTATTTATTAATGATGCTGTTTGCTCTAGGGTTTGAGCAATATAGTATATAAAATATGTCCTTCTGCTTTGCTAAAGATTCTCTGTGATGGGAGGAAATGTTATACTAGTATAAACAATGCATCTATTTTTACCTTTAGTTCTAGAGATCTAAGTCTGCCTCTTATCCCTTCCTCATTTTTCCTTTTCCTCCCACTTCTCCCTTGCAGCTCCTCATCTAGAAAGGAAGAATTTTCTTCCTTTGGAACCAGCATCAAAGTTTGTGTGTGACTCAGACAATAAACTCCACCTGAATTGTTGGCTCAGTGCAGATGCCCTGTATAATTTTGTCCAGTCTGATTTAAATTCCTCTGGAAAAATACAGATCTGTGGTCTGATGCTGCAAATGAGCCTCTGGCATTGGGAACATAGGAAATGCCATACAGAGTATACAGGACTAGATGACCCACTGGTTTGATGTCGCTGACATTGGCCAGTACCAGATGCTTCAGAGGACGACTTTAATCTCCTATTGTGCCATAACCTGCCAATAGGGGATGCTTCATCTTAAATCCAGGCAGTTAGAGCTTCTTGTGCCCGTAGTATGGGGGTTTATATTACTTAACTTCTATCCTTGTCTGGGACACACCTTGCTCTCACCCTGCCTGTAGAGGAATCACACTTGTTTCCAACCATTTTACACTGGTTTGAAAGGAGAATTATTTGCCTCCTCAGTTCTTCCTTTGTTCCCCACCCCAAGTGAACAAAAAAGAAAGACAATCTGATACCTATACTTTGTACTTTGAGTGACTGATCAAACTTCTCATCCAAGACATTTCTCCAGTGTTAGGTATATAATATAATGTAAGCACAGTATCAGACATCTAGCAGTAATGTTAGACTTTTGTAACTATTTGTATTGATTGAAAATGCACATAATTATGATCAGTATTAAAATAGCTTTTGAGAGTACACAACTATTGCTTTATTCTGGCAACCTCCTCTCAGCATGTTGGCTAATGAACCTTGGATGAAAACAAGAAGGGCCGATTATTCGAAATAAGGGATCTGTTGTGTCATTTAAACATAGTCCTCGCTTATTTATTTTGACTGTTACTGTGCACTTGCAATTCTGAGCAGAGAGGCTGCGATACAGCAGGTTTTGTAAGTTGTGGCTTAAGCAGTTATCCAGTATTTTAAGACTTTTTCTTTCCTATTTAGGCTGACTGGTTACTTGTGCATGAGCTGTAAACCTGTTGTTAAACATGCTATGCATATTGTATATTCACTTATGTGAATTGTTCTATCAGTGCTTGTGTGTGTTGAGTTAGGATGCTACATTGCCTTATATATTTAAGTGTATTGCATGAGGTTTAATTGTTTTTATATTGTCACTTTTGTATTCACATAGTGCCTCAAGTATCTATTTGCTTATTGCAAGAAATTTACATTGTTTCAAAACAGTGATTGAGTAGCAAAGGGAGTAGGGGCAAGAGATTCCCTTACTGTAGGACGTGTTTTGAAGTGTTAATAAATTGCAAGGATCCAAAGACTTTGTTGTTCGTTTCTTCATTTTAATCACAGAAGTGGCTTAAAAACACATGGGCCATATGACTAACTTCCAAGATCATGTTTTTCCATTTTAGGCTGGCAAATACAGCTTAGTCTTGTCAGAATTTTTCAGTAGGCTTTCTACTGGAGAAGATTGCTGGAGCTCTAGAAGAAAAGAACCCTTGCAGTACCTAGAAGGAAAGAACTTTTCCAGCACAGAACAACAGGTTTGAAGGTGAAAGTGTGGGGGGAACAAAAACTCCCTTTAATGGGGGACATAGGATAGGAGCAGGAGTGAGGGGGAAATACTGAGATGAGGTGGAGGGGTGCACAGTTGACTCCAGGCTGGGAAAAGGCATCCCAATAGTTGCTGCTGCTGTTCCTAAGGCAGTGGCAGCTGGTGCCCTGTGGGCCTCAACCTCCCCTCAGTTACTTGTGCCTGTGCATGGATGCACCCTGTCCTGTCCCCCACACCACTTTAGCTGGCACATGTGTTCCTGCCTCTTCCCTGGGCCAGATATCTCTGCTGGGACTTGCAATGGCTGGTCTGGACTGGGTCAGGGAGTCCTACCTGCTCTCTGGCAGCCAGCCTGATCTTGTGTCCTTTGGCTCCTTCCCCCCCCCATTCCTATGCATACAGGTATGGAAATATAGCCAGGTCCCACTCTTCTGCCCCCAAAATACCTTGCAGAAGTGAAACATGCATCTGCCCCCAGTATTTCCATTGCAGGGATGATAGCTCCCTCAGTTCCATCACCTATGAATGAAAGGGGACTATTGTGAAGACCACCATAAAGTTGCCTTCAAAAATATAACAAGCAGCCCTTTGACTTGAGAATAGTGGTTTTGAAAATCTCTCTTACAATGAACATGGCTAATGGGGGGGGAAAAATCCAATAATTTAATATGGTGCGCTTTCAAAATGTTTCATTACTGAGGGTACCCTAAAACCAAAGTGTCAAACT